TTTATACTGTTAAATGTTCAAAGGGGGATTAGACCGTGATGCAGTGGTGCACAAAAGCAAAGTAATGATATCATTATCTGTCAAGAACTAATGCGTAGGAAAAGCAATTCATAATTTTAACATACGGTTCTGCCTATAGGCATGCAGGGGCAAAGCGTATAATAATCTAATACAGATTAAATCAATATCTCTATTTAACTCTGAATCTGCTGGTGATTACAGAATCTACCCGTGTAGCCAGTGCACACCAAGATCATTCAGCATATTATTGCCGTCTGATCACGGTCAGTACATATTTGAAATTTTCCGATATATAAAAAGATGAATAATCTTGTCCAGATCATATATTTACCGTGCTTTGGGCTAAAACAATGCCGATGTCACTTGAAACTGGACTATCAGAAGTATACAAAGTGCTTAATCAATATTTATATCATTAAATAATGCATTTTGAAACTTACTGATCATTGACTGAGTAAGCATAAGATTCTTGGTATTCAAAACTCTGTGAAAAGGATTTGACTTCTAGTTACACCTGATTGATTATCAAAAGTGTGAACTGAAAACCAAGTCATTTAAAAATGAATGATTCACTTAAGGTCTAACACGTGTAAATCATTTGATAAACGAGAAACATTTTGGAGCACTGCATACACACGTATACTAAGCTTTTCAAATGCAAACTATTTCTGTTTTTAATTTCGTAATTAACATTTGTAATAAACATATGTGTGAATAATTTAAATTAATGAAGTATACATACTGCGGTTAAATATGAAAATACCGTTTAAATAAGCTTGCAATGAAACAATAAAGGTATTGCAACAAAGGAAAGGCTATTTCATGTATGTACATGTAAGTATAAAATAGATTTCAGTCTTAATAACTTGATGAGTACAAACTCAGCTTAACCTCAGCTTATGAACTAATATCTGCCTGTAAATATGTATTCATGCAAAATAAACTCAAACCATGGACACAAATACAATGTTCCTAATGGAACGTGACAAAAAAAACGGGCATGCCATTCAATGACACAGGGAAATATTAATTTCACATTAACATCACGTGACAACATGGCATTCAATCACCTAGAAAATACTCACATAGCACCGTGGTGAGAAGTGAGTTACTATATGCAAAGCAATATTTGAAACAAATCATCAACTAAAACATATACGTTAAGTATAACAACACCTACATGAACAACAATAACAACAAATGGACAGCATAACCTTGACATTCATCAATAGAAACATTCTATAAGTCTATTATAATACAAATAGGTTACCTGGGTTCCGTTTGGATATCGTATTTGTCTTTCTTATTCATGTTTTAAACCGTTAAACTTTCACTGATATACGCGAAAATGTATCGTTTTCAAGTTTTAACACATAGGAATATAAATCCTGGAAACCATTTTACAGGTTTAACACTCTAAGCCTCGAGGAAAATATCAGCTGCTATGTTATTATTTTAGTTTTTGCCTCTTTGGCAACATACATACACAGCTTCAATATAAACTCCTACGCTAGGATGTACCTGTCGGAGAGCGATTGAAACTTTATGTAAAATTCCTCCATTGATAGTAAACCTACTGGGATCTAGGAACTAAGCAGGAAACGATGTTTTAGCCGGGTTTAGATAGTTTCCTTAACGATCCCAAATTTGCTTATTGAAGCTTCTTAAGAACTTTTAATTTCGAAGGATTTTTTTTTTAAATATTATTTATTTATTTTTATTTATTGTTTATTTATTTATTTTTATCTGTTTGTTTATTATTTATTCATATATTATTTACTTTTATTTAATGAATGAATGAATGAATGAATGAATGAATGAATGAATGAAAATGAATGAATGAATGAATGAACGAACGAACGAACGAACGAACGCACTAATTAATTTTTGATTGATTTTTTATTTTTATTTATGTATTTATTTATTTATTTGCATTCTGGAAAAAAATCGAAATCGCACATTTTTATACAATATTTTCTGACAGGTTTCGTTTTCAACAATTCTTTATCGACAGTAGGTATATGTAGGTGTTGGGCAGGGAGATTAACATATTTTTACCTGACATGCCCTTAAACACAGTTACATGTGTTTCACTTCTCAATATATACAAGATATTCATCTAGTTGTATTAGAGCAAATATTTTATGACTGGCAATAGATGAAAAGTAAATCTTGTATATATATATATAGAAAAAAACTTGAAGTTTCTGTTACAAACTTTTTTACTCCTTTAACCAAACAGTAGTCCGGCAAGACACCTGTGAAAATAAAGAAAATACGGAAAAAAATACGGAAAATATGCTTCATTGCAGTGAAAGATAAAATTTTACAGTGAAAATACTGAAAATGAAAATGCGCATTTTATTTCATCAATATTTCTCAATATTTCATTTATAAGTACATTTATATAAATATAATAAATATATACATACAAAATCTTACATACAGTGCTTCTGAAATTTGATTGGGCAATCATAAAGTTAATTCATTCAGTTTAATATTTCCGTTTCTGTGAATTGTGCGGCCTTTAAAATGGCTGAACTAGCTAAAATCTCATTATTTTTATGCCAAAATGTTCAATAAACAACACATGTTTTAGCAATTAGGATTTATAATGCGTTGGGCATATGAGCAACATAGACCACTGTGGAATCTGTGCTCCATTTTCAAAGCGCAACATATTCGTTACAAAAGAACATAGATAAGATTTACTAGTTTCCTAACATACAAAATAATTGAAATTTGATTTTATAGTCATCAATAAAAGTAAAGGATCCATTGAAACATAAATGTAATCAGACAAAAAATTTCGTTTCATTTCAAATTATTGTAACAACAGAAGTGCAGAGGGAGGGAGGAACGCTCTTATTTATGGGAGCAATTTGATATATTAATAAACGTAGTGTGTCTGCACAATACATACAAATACTGCATTGTATGAGTGTAATATACATACAAAAAATGCAACGCGCGCAAAGGTAAAGAAAATATGAATTGCTTAACAGAGCTGCATTGCACACATACAGTTACATGTGCATTATATAAAATACCACGAGATTGCTTGTTAGAGCAAACCCACTATAAAAGACGGTCCAGGTATTTTTTCATCCATAACATTTTCATTACTTCAGTGTTGCGCCGTTATGTGTCGTAACGACGCAAAATGTCGCACTTGCCGCTGAATGTCGCACTAATGACGCTAAATGGCACACTACAGCCACTTTAAATGTCTCAAAATATTTTGCCGTTAAATTTTAACAACAGTACTGTTAAATATCGCAATGTTAAAACTTATGTTAAGCAACTGGTATTATGTCAATATTAACGTTGGGTGACTAACTAACAATCAGATAGGAAATATGTGTTACTAGCGGCCTAGCGGCGTGAAATTGTACAGTTAAAGAAATGTTATAAAAATGGTATTTAATGAAGTTCTTGTTATTTAAAAGATATATTTATAAACAAAGGATTACTATGAGAGATCTTTTATCATTTTTGTGAAATAGCGGTCAAACTTGTCATAAATATGGTTGATATTTTTGCTTATAACATACGCGTTATTTCATACTTGTTCGTGTTTTTGATAATATCGATTTTCCGAACAGAAGCACATAGAAAATCAACGGACTTGATCAAAGGCTTATATATGGTGTACAATATCTAAAACAAATATGAATGGTCCTTAATGAAGTTTTAAAACAATTTTTTTCGGGTCCCATCCATTTTTATTTCTTCCCGTCCAAACGATAAGGATATGTCAGGTAATTATCCGTTACTAACTTTAAAAATATATCTTTTGCTTACACATTTATGAACAATAACTTATGATTATAGCATGGGGTTATGGTCATACCCTAATTGATTACCTCTTTGTAATTGGATGAAACTGAAAGGTTAAAAAAATGGATAGATGGTTGGGATTCTATTGCTAGCACACGTGTAAATTAGTCGTTATTCTTGTAAATTAGTCGTTATTCGGGTGAAAAAATCGTTGCCAGGTTCTGTCATTTTAACGGTATTATTTGTTTAAGTTCAATACGTGATCAAACATTGATTTGTATTAACATTTGTACAATAATTGGTTATGATTTAAAACCTGAGAAACTCCCCTCCCCCATGCCTGCAGCTTATCCGTACATGTTTCGCCTCCAACTCCTCTAAGCCCAACACCGGGGAATATCAATGCTTAAAGGGAATGTACTATTCGCCGGTCTCCGGTAATTCCCGGTCTCTTCCTGTCTATTTTGGCTGGGATTTACTAGAGACCGGCGTATAGTATCACACGTTTATTGTCCGGTCTCTCCCGGTGTTTAGGGATAGTTTTATTTGATATCGTAACAAATAAATAGGATTTTCCTTATAAAATGAATGTTTGTAACTTAGTTTGGCACAGATCATCTTTCAAATTATTTATTATAATACATAAACATACAATTCTAAAAATAGCAATAGCATGCATTTTATTTATGTCAGATAAAAATAATAAATATATACAATAATAGAATAGAAAAATCAATCATTATTAAAAATATTACTATATCATGGCAGCATATATGTGTTGATGTCGCGTTAGAATCGAAATAATATATCCAAATCGGTGATTGTATTGCTTGATAAAATGACTGTTTGTCGTTCGGATGCGTATCATTATATCACTCGTGTTATTGAGCAATAAAATCACAGTTTGGAATATAATATTTCTTAAATAGACAATGTTGACCTTGAATGAGCAAATGCGACCTTGATCCTGGATGTAGGGGTCTGGTTTTTGCACATGACACATCGTCTTATCATAACAAATTCTTGTGCTAAGTTCTTACAAATTCCTTTGATAAATGACAAAGTTATGGACCGAACACGAAAGTGTTCACGAAAGTGACAGACGGCCGTCCGAACAGACGGAGCCTAATATTACTATACCCCCCTTTTTTCTTCTAAAAGGCCGGGGACAATAATAAGAAGATCTGCACTGATCGGGCCAGTAAATATGATACTATTCGCCGGTCTTTAGTAAATCCGAGTCAAAATAGACCGGGAGAGACCGGAGACCGGAAAATAGTAAATCCCTCTTTCAAGGAGTAACTATCTCCATCCAACCGTTTTGCACATAATTATTATAAATATATAGAGCTCGAAAAGATTTCATAGCCTTTTCATCACAGGCTTTAGCATTGATGAGATAGTCGTCCTCATATGTAAGCCATGGCCAGGTTTTTAAGTTATTTCTTTACCATTTAGCATCATCTGGAGGTAAATCTGTAAAAGAAATGGGAAAATGCTTTTAGGGAATATCAATGTCCTGTAAACCACATGTAGTTATGTCTGACAAGATTTAAATCTGCGTATTTAAAAAAAATATACATGACAACTAAAACTTTGTAACAGCTTCCTGATCATGACTTATAATATATCAGAACGCAAACACTCGCTTTGAAATCATATTTCAAAGTTACGCCATTAACAACTCCGCTTCAAAAACTAACCACGAAAACTTTGTAGAGTCTATATATGTACATTGATATAAACTGAATTAAAGTACTCATTAATAAACACCGTTGTTTCGTAATAAACTAAATAAATCCCTCACCATTTTCCGCTTACTAAACAAATCCATTAATTAATATACATGTATATCTCTAAAAAAAAATATGATTAAACAAACAACGGGTGGCTGAACTGAAGTTTACACGTAAACAACCAAGTTTACGATTAATTCACAAGGTCTATGCTACTAGCTTGTTACTGTTACGTTCATATATTATATTCCCTGGGAAAAAATACCAATAGCTAGCCGATCTTTCGCTCATTTTTAAAGATAATTTTGATTTTCAGTATTGGCTTGGCATTCACAGACTTTCAGAATAAGTACCGTAATGGCGGATGGTCACGTGACAAACAAAATGGCGGCCGTCTAACTTTTGATTATGAAAACGTTCATAAATAAAATACTCATCAAACCGCACACTGTTTTCTTTATTTCGCAGGATTAAGTATATCCCAGACTTTCTAACATTTAATGATGTAATTACCATTTTATGCATTTGCTTAATTGCTTGTAAACATTTTAACAATAAGTACTGGAGACATAATTTGCTGTCTTACTTTTTCGACAGCGGTAAATCGTTTCAGCAGTTATTTTTATATTGCGCAATAATACTACGGGGCTACAGCGTTTTTATCAATCAAATACGTTCATATTTCAACTTGAATTTGGAAAGGCTAAATATGGAAATTTTTAAGATATCCCGACAAAGTATGGGAGTTTCATAGGATCAACTTCATGTACTATTTCTTGAGCTGTTATTCGGTTGAGGACACTTGCTCGATTGTAGCCGACAAAATCCCATTTGTAGATGACATATAGCTCTGAACGCGCCTGAAGACCGTCTACCGTGTGAAGAAACATTTTGAGAATAACGAATTTTGAAAATGTTGTTAAAAATTGTTTTTTTTATAAACAAAATGGCGCCGTTAATGTGTCGGTTTGAAAATACACAGGGTGATAATAAGAACGGCGAGTGCATTGTTGTAGAATAATGCACGCTTCCGGCCTTCTTTGTTTATGTAGAAACATTTCCGATTGTGTTAGAATTCCTAAATAATACGTACAGATAGCCGTTTAAATCGCCCTTCCGTTTTATCTCGGAAATGCCGTTCTCTCGTTTTTCAGTACACCACATCAATTTGCCAGGCATATATTTGTTAGGTGTATTCATTTTGCATTTACTTTTTTCAAAATGTAGCATGTCTCCTCCCGCGCATGATGACGTTGACAAAGGGCGAGCCTGGATTATTCTAATGGCTGTTTACTCTCTGGTGATATTTCTCAGCACCACGTTATATATGAATGGATTATACCTAGCTGTTTTAGTGGACCTCTATCACGAAGATCTTACGAAAACCTCTATGATTGGTGCACTGAATTCGGCTCTTCTCAATCTAATGGGTAATATTTTCATCACTTTTCATCAAAAACAGGGTAATTCATGAATAGTATACATTTGTTACAGATGCATAATTTACAAGTACCATAAAGTCCCCCAATGGCTTTCAGATAAAAGTAGAGCATGCATGCTCGTTGATTGCCTACATAGGTATTGACGACAGGGAAAGGGATAATGATGAAAATGTCATATTATCTTGGCCGATTTGTGCCATTCGTGTGTTCGCCCCTCGCCGCTGCCATTTTAATTTGTTAATTCTCAACTTTTCGCTTGGCGGAGTCGCGGGGCGAAAACACGCTAATTATTGGGGTCGCGGGGCGAAGTTTTATTTTATTAAACTTCGCCCGCGCCCGCCGTTTTATTTATATAAACTTCCCCCTTCGGCCCCGATAATTAGCGTGTTTTCGCTGCGCGCACCCGCAATTTTAACTTGTTTCTTCTCGACTTTTCATTTGGCGGGGTCGCGGGGCGAAAACACGAATGGCACAAATCAGCCATCTTATTATATTCAAATGCTCGTTTATTGGTTACATTTTTTTCTGGCGTTTCATATTGTAACCACAGGGAAAGTGTTTTTTACAGTGATACAAAAGAGAACATCAAAACACTTAGCAGTCTGATTTATACTCTGGAGTTACATCTCTTTGTACACTGGTCCGATGTTCTCAAAGCCGCTAAGGTGAAGGTGTTTTAGCAAACAACTGTTCGTGGAACTTCAGAGTACCTTTACACGGCTGAAAAATACACTCGTCACAGCCATTTATAAACGTCACGATTTCTCAATGAAAATTGGCATTTCAAACGTGCTATGTCAATAAACATTTATGTTGTAGATGTCGTCAGATAACATTTCATAAGTATTATGAGTTAATTTACAATATCCAAACTTAATTATTCAGTAACATGTCGTCTGTAAATGACGTGTAAGTTTTATCCCTGATGATGTTACAATTGGAAAGACAGAATGTATGGTTAATACAACTGAAAACTTTACAGCAAAAGCAGATATGTTTAAAATCACTATGAATGTCAAAATCCAATCATATCTTTTTATATTTATGGTGCTTTTGTTATTTTGATTTATCATTTAGGTCCAGTTGTTTCAGTATTCGTGGATATATACAGCTGTAGAACTTGCATGTTTGTTGGTGGGATTCTACTGAGTATTTCCTATTTTGCCAGTTTCTTTTCGAAGAACATCAACGTTTATATCTTCACCATAGGAATCGTCGGAGGTATGTTTAGATATGTTAAATACAAACGAAATATATCGCAATTTTCAGATCACTACGGTGGTAATTTGTTGGCACTGACTATATAATATATTGACTGCATTATGGGAATTTGCGCATTCACACCCTATAGTGATGATGGTTTTATTTTGTTGAAGATTATATTTTGTAGTAAAAATATGAAAAACAAGATCAACAAGGAAGGGCGGGGTTTAATGAACGCACCCCCCACACGGCCCAGTAACACGGGACCAGCGGCAAGGTGCCCAGCAGGACAAGTCTTGTTGTTATACGAAAAAGCATACCAAACAGAATTTTGTGACTGGAATATATATTTACCTTTCGACACTGTAAAGACATAATGATTTTACCATGAATTTTTTTCTACCCTCATCCAACCTGTTTAATATTTTTACATTCTTAAACATTTCAGGTATCGGGAACGCGTTTAGCGCAATGCCACCCTCTGTTTTTATTGCATATAACTTTGAGAAATGGAGGAATTTTACACTTTCTTTTAAAGAGGTTCTTGTCGGTGTTGGCATGTTTATTGCATCACCATTGCTATTTTGGTTAATAGATACATTTGGAATAAACGGCTCTTTTCTAATCGTCAGCGGGATCAATTTACAGATATGTGTTGTATCCTTAATATGCTGGCCTAATTCAAAAGAACGGAATTTGATAAAAATGAAGACAAAGCAAACCAATAGGGACCACTCAACTTGTAAAACAATATGCCAAAATTTGAAATCGAGTATTAAGTTGAGTTTGATTCTTTTAAAGAACAGACAATTAGTTTTATTTATGCTAAGTACGTTATCCTGGAATTTTATATTATCAGCATGTTCATTACACTTACCTAGATATATGGTAACGAGAGGGTTTGGTGATGCATCAGTTGTGTCGGTGATGACAGTGTTCAGTGTATCAAACACTCTAGGACGGTTGTGTGCCGCTGCAACTGTGGGCAGCGGAGGAATTGATAGCAACATACTTCAAATAGGAATGTTAGGCGTTCTAAGTTTTTCAACAATTTTGTTTCCATTATACGGGGGATGGTCATATTCAGCGTTTGTGTTGGCTGTATTGAGTGGGTTTTATTGTGGGGGACCTAATGCTTTGTTGACACCTATAACTGTTGGTTTAATTGGAATAGAGAAAATGTCTAGTGGTTATGGACTTCTTACTTTCTTCAGTGGTATAGGTGTTCTGACGGGACCTCCAGTACTTGGTAAGATGTTTCATTTTTTTTTCAATAACTTTATTGTATAATACAATTACGAATTTGTCTTTCTATTTTGCAAAATATACTGTATTTAGTTGATAGTAAAAGGTGTTATTTTTGTGAATTTCAACTTGAGAGCGTTGAAGATTTTAGAAACATTTAGTGCAGAGTCATGCCTGGATATAGTTTGTTTCATGCAAGCTTTATAGTTTTGTTTGATGTATATATATTTTATTTTGAAATACGCCATAATTTTTCTATATCATATTTAATTATACTTTATTTTGTTTTAAGCGATAGTTTATAGCTTGACAGATTCGTATGATTACAGCTTTATGACAATAGGTATGTTTACTTGCTGTTGTGCTATATTGACTCTTACTGATATATTGTTATTAACTTCGTGTATTTTATATACTTTGTATCAAAGGGACCCGGCACAGTGTTGGGATAGTGTAAAAAGGTAATTCTAGAAAAAAAAATTGAACTTTATATATAATATATATTATATATAATGTTTAATTTTTTTCTAGAATTACTTTTTTACACTATCCCAATACTGTGCCGGGTCCCTTTGCTTTGTATAATTGTAAAATATGTAGCTTTCAGACATAAAATATACTAGTGCCAGTACTTGCTTTAATATCTTTACTGGTTAAATTCATATAATATGTGCTCATGCATTATCAATAGAATGTAAGCGACATTTGATCTTTTAAGGAGAATTTAATGTTCCTACAGCATGTACAGGTTTCTTTATATACCAGTCGGACTTTTTATTTAATATTGAAATGTTGTTTTAAGTTTAATTGTTAGCTTCTAAACATTGAATCCTTGGGCGGCGTGGCCGAGTGGTTAACGCGTCGGACTAGTAATCCGCGTGGGTTCAAACCCTGTCAGGGGCAAACCGTTGTTTCCTTGACCAAGAAACTTTTACATTCATTGCTCAGTACTGGTTGGTTCCAGGAACGGATTCTCGAGAGTGTTTTAATAAGCTTATAGCTTCCAACACAATCGAACTAATTTAAATTTGTATAAACTAAACTAAATCGAAACATGACCTGCACATAAGATAGCGATTGTTGCACTGTGCTCGAGTGAATATACATGTTTTTGTGGCATTATTTGAAGATGTACATGTAATAGTATTTTCAATACTGACCAGTTTGGTATATATACTTTTTCTGAAGATAACATGAAAGGTGCCATACATAGGTTAATTGAATATCTTATATCTCGATATTGAGAAGTGTAATAAAACTAGTATAGTTTTAAACATAGAATATGTTATATATTTCAGGATTTGTTGTCCTACTTGGAATGTTTAGTAGTTTGATGGCATTTAGTAAAGCGTATACTCCAGAAAACACACGTATTGAGATTGATGTTGCACAAAATGATACTGTTGTTACATCTACCTTATTAGACGACCAGGAACAATAGAAGATGCTTTGCTTGATAAAAATAGTAGAGAAGATTTACAAACTGATTTACAAAATGTCAAGTTTGAAAGTGATACATCCGATTACGTTGACATTGTACACTTACATAGACTTGTAAGCATTTCAACAAATAAATAAAAGTATCCGTCTACTTATTTTTCGTGTCGTGACAGACCAAACCTGGGCAACATATTTAAATAATAATGGTAATAATGTGTGTGTAGTACAAATTCATATCTGTGCAGCCTGGTCAAACTTTTGTTATGGACAAATTTTCAGTCATACCTGCCTCTCAGCTTTACTTATGGAGGAAGACCTCGGGTCCATTTCAATGCATTATTTCAGGCGCAAGTTCACGACGTTCTGTAATTAATCTTGGTAGCTGTCTCACAAGAATCATCAGTCACAACCAAGATTCAAACCCACAGCGGTAAGGGACAAGTGGTTCAAAGCTAACAAACTTTACCACTTGTCCACGGAGGCACCTGATCAAGATCTACAAAGTGGCCTACTCAAATTGAAAATTCAGTTACCAAATAGACAGATCAAAATTCAAAGGAGGTCATTTTTATTTCAACATTTAACCACGTTTATGTTCATTTGCTTTGTTTTGGGTTTTACGTCACATCGACACAGTATATGTCATATCGCGACGTTCCAGCTTTACTGGTGGAGGAAGACCTCAGGTGCCCTTCCGTGCATTATTTCAGCACGAACGGGCACCTGAGTAGAACCACCGACGTTCCGCAAGCTAGCTGGATAACTTCCTCATATGAAAGAATCCAAAGTCGCTGTCGGGATTCGAACCCACAGCGGTGAGGGGCAAGTGATTTGAAGTCAACGACCTAAACCACTCGGCCACGGACGCCCCGTTAATGTTTATACAGCATTATCCAATCCTCAAGGCCACATTATAAATAAATAAAACAACACATTCATCTTTTTACAAAATTTTAAATATAAAAACAATTTAGCGAAACAGTCTGCATATCTGTTCAAAGTATTGACAGACAGCTTAAAATTTCCTTTGTTCTTTATCCTTTTAAACAACACTTTCTGTTAAAATAGACAATAATTCGTTAAATAACTTACATAAATAACACATTACAAATAATTTACAACATGTTAAATATATGACAACAAAAACAAATATAATGTAAGAAACAATCATTTGCTTATCTTAAAGTTTAAGTTATATTAAAATTTCTATTTGATTGTTAAGTACCAACACTCACTGTAAGTCATATGGTGACTTTTCAGCTTTATTGCCACAGGCAGAGTTCAGGTGCTCATTCGAGCATTATTTCCGGCTGAGTGTAAGAGAGCTCGAGTGCTGCTTCACATGACAGAGTCCAAAGACCTTGATGAGATTCGAACAATCAACAGTGACGGCCAGGCAATTCAAACTCTACAACCTAAACGTCCTCAGTGAATATTTCTATCTATACCGATTTTATCCAATTTGATCTTACCAAAAATAAAAGTAGAATACAAATGGTAGGAGAGGAAAAGGTGTCACAATTATCATTTCCTAATAGTATCACAATTATCATTTCCTAATAACAAAAATAAAATATACATTCAATCCATCCCTTTAAATATGAGGCAACATAAAAATTTCAACCATTACCTTTAAATATGGGGCAAATGAATATCTCACACATGAAAAAAATCAACAGGTAATAAACCTCGCCAAATTCTTCTCTAAAATTCTGAGAACATAAAGTTCATGGACATGATATGCTATAATGAAACATAAGAAATATAACATTTTTTGTAACATCAATTCTATCTTTATTTTTTTTATCAAAACATCACAGCACTTCAAGAAATATAAATCAAACACAGTTAGACCAAGGTGTGTTCTGTTTTCATAAAATTCAAATGATGTCATCCCAAACCTGTGTACATGTATATTATATGATAAAATTTAGATTAAAAAATGACCTTGATAGACATTGAGCCATTGACTACGTCAATGTCAAGGTTGTATTTACACAGTTGCCATGTAGAAAAAAAACGTTTATATGTCGTGTACATATGGAAAGTCACTGATGTTGTAGAACACAAAGTCCCTTACTTAAAGAACAATTTGTTTACGGAAAAAAAATGCCTCTCAGTGTATTAACAATTATTTTTTTTTTTACTTAAACAAATTTCTAAAATGTGTGCTCCATACCGTACTAAAAAATGATACACAAAATGCAATTGCTACTTTTTAATTAAATTCTACTCTAGATTTTGTTTCTGTAGGTAATATGTGCTTCATATGGTACATAAAAAAATCAGAAATTCATTTCAAAATGCAATATGTATTTTCAAATAAAATCTATTCTTGATTTGAGCTGTGTCATGACAAAACCAACATAATAGGTTTGCGACCAGCATGGATCCAGACCAGCCTGCGCATCCGCGCAGTCTGATCAGGATCCATTCTGTTCGCTTACATACCATATAACAAGTAGAGAAACTGATAGCGAACAGCATGGATCCTGATCAGACTGCGCGGATGCACAGGCTTGTCTGGATCCATGCTGGTCGCAAACCCACTATGTTGGTTTTGTCGTGATGCGGCTCATTTTATTTCTACAGGTAAATTAGCTGAAAATTAAATCTATAAAACCTTCATTGAGATAATAGTTATAAAAGATATAAAAGAGAAATATTGTTACAATAAAACAAAAATTTATTTCTTATCATTAATTTTCACACAATGTTTCCCTGCTCATTCATGTATATGAAACACATGCATTATGTACATGTATAATTTCTTAGATAATAAATAATTTGATATACATTCAACATAACAAGATCTAGGAGAAAACAATGCCCTGCACCGTAACAAATAAAGATGAACTATTTTTAAAAGAAAATAGCTACAAAAGATTTATCTTAATTAAGAATGCTGCAGGACTGAATGAAGCTTTGTTAACAATAGGCCGACATTTACTTATGCATTATCTGAAAACTAAATGAAAGAAAACCCATAAAACAATTTACTGGAAGTTGAACTTAGTGAGGCAGATCCTACGATGGTCATGTGGTGGCTTTCAAGTTTTTTTCCGGTTAAGAATGACCTCATGTGACCTTCTTATATTCACTTTTTACAATATTTCTGGCATGTGTGGGCACCCATAGAATAACTCTGATACATTAAACTTTATAAAGCTTAAAAGAATTCAAGTGGCTTTTATCTTAATTACAAAGAAACATAAAATAAATTTATTACCGGGTATCTAAGGAACTGTCAATGATTATTCGGGACTATAATAATATGTTTACTGTTTTATCTGCATCTATTTTACTATTATATCAAAGTTTTGTGGACATATCTTTATGTCAAAATAGAAAAAGAAAGAATGCACTTGCACTTGCTAAATTATATGCTGAATTATATCATTATTTAAAAATTATTAAAAAAAAATCATATTCTGAAATCTTTCACTCATAAAAGAAGGAAAGAAATAAATCGATCACAGAAAACACATAATCATGCATTTTCAACAGAAATCACATAATGACATATCCATTTTCACTACAAAATGGAAATGAGAAAAAGTGCTCTGAATTAAGATGAGTGATGAGATATAAAAGATATCACATGAGTTGACATAAAGCAACAGTTTCTGTTGTCAAAGGAATTGACATTAAGCCCAACACACATAATTTGCCTTAAGGTTTATAAAATATGAGGGCAAATAAGAAATTACATACATGAAATATCTTGACTTTTTATCTTTAAAGAAATAACAATGTATTTACAATACCAGGGCAATTTATCCATAAAGCATATGTATTTTATAGACATTTAGCATCCTTCAAACACCAGTTATTATTCACTTAATCAATTATAATTTAAATACTGAATATATATTATTGACCATTGTCATCTTTGCAATTGTTAAAAAGGCATCAAAATGTTGGGATCATTTAATTTTGCAATAGAATTTCCATGAAGGAATCTTGTTTTGGTTTTATGATTACTCAAATCAAGTCAGCCTTTTGTTTATTACAAATAAACATACATACACATTGGTCAAATTTATGTCTCATGATTCATTTAACAACAAAATTGAACATTTCTTTAGTGTAAAGACTAACATGAGCTAAACAATGCACACTATATATCAATTACTCTTCTAATGTGAACATCAAGAAAGAAATTACCTATGACCTCTGATGGTACCTATAAAATGTTATCAAGAATAGTTGTGCATATAGCTGTTTTGAAAACAAGATTTTTGAACTATCATTTAACCTGGACAGATTACACAAATTGGCACAAAATCTAAAAATCACATTAGTCTATACATGTACACTTCAAACTTTCACTAAAAGTGTTGAAAATAAAAATGAGTGTTTGGATGATTAAAAGTTTAATTGGTTAAATGTATTTTTATATCATATATACATCATTTGTACATAAATATACACATAATCTTTTTCAGATATAATGACTTTCATGAATAAGGAATATGTAAAATTTTAGACACCCTGATTCTACACAAATCAACACTTGTGTAAACAAACATTCACATACAATATGCTGTGTATTCTAATCATTATACATGTATATACAAATATTTTTCCTATGTATTACACAAGAATACATGATTTAACAAATATGTTTACGCATTTATATGCCAAGCTTATGCAAGGGTTAAAACGGTTTATAAAACTATATAAAAACTAACAAAGCATTAGACCATATACTTGAAACAATTCTAAATCTGGAATGATAAAAATAAAAATGATGACCTAACATTTAATTGAATTAGAAAATTCATCAACAGAGCATGTTACTAATATAAAGAGGATATTGAATGAGTGTAAGTTCAATACTGAATTTATTATGTGAGCCTCTGGCGAAAAAAATATTATTTTATTCAAAGAGTTCAATAAATTCACTAATAAACTTATATGAATATAAATTTTCTATTTATCACATACCCAAAATAAAGACTGATTTTTACATGAAAAAGGATTATTTTTTCATCATCATGCCTAAAGTATAATGCAAACATTTAGCATGTCTTTACACTACATGTATGTTCTTATAAAGCAAATAATGTCATATCAAAATATATGCACAGCCGTGCAATTCCATTTTAACGGAGTCGTAAAAGCGGCATGGGTATGTGATAAAGTCTGGTATCTGTTTAAGTGGGGTTAGATAGAAAAGAAACTTGCCATACATTTGTTCTATATTGAGCAAACAGGGGAAATTTGATATCTCCAGGTTATACATGTAACTATATGAGATGATAAATATCAACAAAAGATAGAGTATTTATTTACCTTTTATACATTTTTTCACGATTTCAGTAAAAAAACACATTCTGAACATAAAATTATTGTGTTATGTTCATAATTTCCAATTGAATTGGTTTTTGTAGGTGCATTTGAAAGTTCCCAGCTTCCACAGTAATATCATCCATTAAGCATTGATAGCAAAGTTTCAGACATTTCTTTTAGACAGGGTACCCACTTAGTGTATGTTTTTGGAGAATATTTATCATTTCTAAACATTTTTTAAATAAGTAAAACTAATTAATGTTTTCTAATTGTTATCAATAATCAATTAAATGATAAATCAATATTGTTTCTATTGATGACAGATCTAGATTTTCTCTTTTGAACAGCAGTGTATGTTTCTATAAAAAAAGTGGTAAACAAGAGCACTGCATGCAGTGTTAACACTTGTCTGTTAAAAAAGCACTTTTGACAAAAAAATTAAGTTAAAAAGGGGCATAACTTAGAAAATATAACTTTCATAATTATGTCCTTGTCTTTCAACTGCCTCTTGTCATGATAAGCAAGTATCCCGAGATTCATATTGATATCTTTAAAATTGTTTGAGTAATGTTCTACATTTAAAGATTTTGCATGATGACAACGACATTGCCGCAGTGATCACAATAACTGATTTTTATTTCTTAGGAACAGACAAGCTAAAAATAATATGCTTATTTTTCTATGTACTTTATTATGTGTACCAGTCTATGACTGGGTCTTATTAAATAAAACCAATATGGTATTACAAACATGTATACAACTATATAGCACTAATATTTATAATAATACTAATTAACTCAACTAACTTGCTAAAAAAACAACAAGTATTTAAATGTTGTATTAGGAAATAAAACAAATCACTTGTATTCAATCAAAATTGAATACTTTAAAAACTTGATTCCAAATACAAATCACATTCTTAAATTTTCCATGTCCCATAAAATATTTTTTTTTTATATTATAATGATTTTTTTTTACAATTTTTTAAATTTCACCAGAGATGTTGATGTTATCTATGTCTCTGATTTTACCTATTTGCACTGAATAACAATGACATATGACTAAAATATGTTCTTATAAAATATCAATACTTAGTACAAAATAATATGGGAACTAATTTCACTATATGCCAATCTACTAAGTTTTAAAGGAACTCCACTGTGGACGAAAAAACCCCAAAAAACCCTAAAATTTCAATGTCTTAAATAGATCAGCTGGAGCACTTAAACAGGAAGATATGTGCAAGATAATTACAAAATATACTTAGAAATAAATTGAAAATCATATTGGTTTGCTATTCTTTGCCAAATCTGAATGAAATGCGTTGCAACATTTTTCAATTTTGCGTAACTTTTTACAATTCGAGTAATTGTTCTGGAAAAATTGTAGCGAGCAAATAATTTGAAATTTTACACACAAGTTATTAGTCTAGACCTACATCAACTGGAACATTAATCTTGGATAATTATTTCCAGTTCAGTTATGTAAAAAAAACTTAAGTGGAGTCCCTTTAATTGCATCTATATTTAACTTCATCTGAATGTATAGTTAAAGATGAAGCAAATGGACAAAGTGTTACCATTGATTTTATGTATTTTAAACATCCTATGTTTGGTATAACTTCAAAAGAGAACATAATTACATGTTTCTAATCAAGTTGATGGAGAAAACACTTAATACATCATTTTTATATTGATAAAATAACTTGTGTCCAATACTTGTTGAACATTTTTTTTGTTTCCACAAGTTTTTTTGTTTTTTTTTTATATTTAGTACCTCCTAACTTGTGTTTAGTATGTTAATATATGTAAATGTGGTTACAAGGTTTTTCATTATTTTAAACAAATTATTAAAATAAAATAGACCTACATAATTATACACTCAAAAGACAGAGTTAAATGTAACTAACTTTTCTGCAAGAAATAATCAACTAATGCTGTAAAAATGTGCACCAAAACAGAAGATAGACTACCCTGCCATTTTCTTTTTGTTTTCTAGGGGAGTTCAGTCCCCTTTGACACTGAAACTGTCATATGGCAACTTTTACACTTACAAATAATTTACATATTTGAGCCGCGTCACGACAAAACCAACATAGTGCGTTTGCGACCAGCATTGATCCTGATCAGACTGCGCGGATGCACAGTCTGATCAGGATCCATGCTGTTCGCTTACCAACTCTATTACAATTAGAGAAACTGATAGCGAACAGCATGGCTCCTGATCAGACTGCGAGGATGCGCAGGCTGGTCTGGATCCATGCTGGTCGCAAACGCACTATGTTGGTTTTGTCGTGACGCGGCTCATTTTACAAGGTCTACAAAGAATAGTTAAGACATAATGTTTACACACAATATTCCCTGGATTCAAAGTACACATAGTTGGGGGTAGAAAAAGGGGAAAACCATCTCCAACTGAAAGGATGACCAAAGACGGATTTAATGCTAAACCAGTATGATTTCCTTTCCCAACTTCCTTGTTCTTTCTTCAACTGTTCTATACCCTGAAATGATAAATTATTATTAAATGTATTATTTACATACATTATGTTTTAATTCTTTTTAGATATACATTTTTAAATACAATTTCGTTTTCTTTTTGGCTAGTTCAATTCTAATTCCCACTAATTATGTAAGAATTATGCTGAGACTTGGTTTATTCATAATCTATTTTAGTTCAATTGTGTAGGAAGCTTAAAGACACAATCTCAAATCCGTTCCTGAACAAACCAGTACTTGGCAATGAGTGTAAAGTTACTTCTCAAAGGAAACAATGGCTCCACCCTGACAGGGTTTGAACTGATACATATAGCGATCCTAAGATTGTTAATCTAATGTGTTGACCACTGGGCCATGCCATCACAAATGTTGAAACTTTCAAGCTTTGACAGCAAAAGAAAATCTCAGCTGCACCAGCAATCCTCAGGTGTGTTATTTTAGTTAACAGCAAAGTAGAACAATCAGTCTTTCATAAGCCATCAGGATAGCTTCTTCACATGAAACAATCTATAGTCCATAGCTTGCTTGAATTTTGAACCTAAATGAATGTGAAGGCTAAATGATTTAAAGTGAGCAACTTCAACCTTTCAATATTTATGAAGAGGAATTATGGACAAAAGATCTATTAAAGAATGGCGAATAAAAATTAAAGTCTCTAGTATGACTTTATCCTAAAGACTTACTGTTTCATCCGAGCAAATGGCTGAGAGTTGAGACCCAAACATAATTGCTGTAAATATTCCAAACAATAGGCCTTCAAACACAAGAAATATTAGAAATATTGTAGTTGCTGGGGGAGATACACCAGAACATCCTGAAATGATAAATATATTATACTTTACCGACAAGAAATAATGTAATAGATCAATGAAATTAAAATATATCTCATTATTTTTTATAAACAAACATAAAGAAAACAAGAGGGCCATGATGGCCCTGAGTTGCTCACCAGAAACAACGGCTTTACAGTGTTGGAAATTATTTTTTAAAAGAATTTGCTGAAAGGCAAGTCCAGCTCTTTCGGCAAGTTCAGCTTAACTTTAACTTGCCCCGCTAGTAATATACTTTCACAACACTGATTGTTTTAGCTTTTTTTCTTCATAATAAAAAATAGGGCCACTAAGATGGCCCGAGATCACTCATCTAACCCATCATTTCATGATTGACAATATAAATTGAAATATTTTGCCCTAATATTTTGGAAAGGCTTTGTTAAAAATATGTATGTTGCAAGTGTGTTCCTATGAGACTATGTAGAATAAATGCAGAATAAATGACCACTGGAGCAGGATTAATTTTGACTAAACAATTTTTTTTATAACTTTTTTGAATGAAAACACAAAATGTCACATGCAAAACATGTATCAAAATTGAATTCAACATCAAAAATTACACAAATTACACCCCTGGTCCAAATTTCAAGTCTGTACATAAAAGACAAAAAAGTAGGTAAAGCGATATCAAATATATCAAAAGTAGGCCAGTTCATATCAAAATTCAATTCAGGATCAGAAATTAAACCTCTTGTCCAAATTTCCAGCAGGTACATCAAAAAACGACAAACTAGGTCAAACAATATCAAATAATAATATCAAAAGTAGACAGTTGATATCTTAATTCATTTCGCATCAGAAATTACATTCCTGGTCCCAATTTAAAGTCTCTGTACATCATTCCAAATTTCAAGTCTCTGTACATCAAAAACAAGAAAGTATGTGCAATGGTTTCAAAAATATCAAAAACAGTTCCACTGATACCAAAATTCAATTACGCACATGAAACTCATGTTCAACAGTCTGTCCCAAAATTTATTGAAATGTGCTTTTTCCAAGTTTAAATCCAATTCAAGAAAAAAAAATGACAAAAAAACAATTTTTAACAAAATTCAATAACAAAATTGAGCATACAAACCAATCTTTGTTAGTCAGGTACAGGAGAAACAAATTTAATGTTTCTTTAGGCCTATTTTTTTTCCTGGTTAATGACCTACAACTGACCTTACAATGATGGAATATGATGTCCGATTTCTAATTACACATCATAAACAGGTCATGACATTAAGACTTTCTCCAAGCCATTGAACCTCTTTTGGAAAAATTGAATAATATAATTATGTACACATTCCAACATAAGTTGTTTCCCTTTCATTATGAAAAGATATCCTATATCATTGAAATTTATTGAAATTAATGAAATTCTTACTGAAAATGTCTAATTTGGATAAAAGAATGAATAAACTATGTATGGGAAGCTGCATATCCTATTATAGGCCAAGTAAAGTTGGTCTTTTCTATAAAAAAAAAAAAAGAAGTTTTTTTAATGACACTTATAATCATTATATTTATACTGTGACCTCCTATAGTGTGAAGAGTTTAAAACATAACATATCTTCTTTGTGTGAAGTCAAAACATGTTTATTTTATATTTATAAAAAGACTGTGTATGCATTGTCAATATTTTTAATATTAAATTTGAGCATAGAATATCTTTAAACTATAATTTGAAGAAATGCCATGACCTGTGGAATTAAAGCTTTAGCTTAAATAGGGTCAATCAAATTAATATGACTGATGAGCAAACTTGATAAAAGACTACCTAAGAATGCTACAGACAAAGTTTGATGATCATCCATCAAATATTTCATTAGGAGATGATGTTCAAAGGTTTTTCAATATTTAGCTTTAGCCGCCCCTTAAAGGGGCCAATCAAATTAATATGAGCAAACTTGATAAAAGACTACCTAAGAATGCTACAGACAAAATTTGGTGATCATCCATCCATTAGTTCTGTAGAAGGAGACATTAAAAGGTATTTCTAATTTCAACTTTAGCTGCCCCTAAAAGGGGCCAATCAAATAAATATAAACAAACTTGATAAAAGACTACCTAAGAGTGCTACAGACAAAGTTTGGTGATTTCAGAAGGAAATGATATTCAAAGGTTTTTCTATTTTTAGCTTTGGAGGCCCCTAAAAGGGGCCAATCAAATTAATATGGGCAAAACATGATAAATGACTACCTAAGAATGCTACAGACAAAGTTTGGTGATCATCCATCAATTAGTTCTGTAGAAGAAGATGTCTAAAGGTTTTTCTATTTTTAGCTTTAGCAGCCACTAACAGGGGCCAATCAAATTAATATGAGCAAACTTGATAAAAGACTACCTAAGACTGCTACAGACAAAGTTTGGTGATGATCCATCAATTAGTTCTGTAGAAGAAGATGTCTAAAGATTTTTCTATTTCTAGCCCTAGAGACCCCTAAAAGGGGCCAATCAAATTAATATGAGCAAACTTGATAAAAGACTACCTAAGAGTGCTACAGACAAAGTTTTGGTGATCATCCACCAATTAGTGCTGTAGAAGAAGACATTTGAAGGTATTTCTATTTTTAGCTTTAGAGATCCCTTAAAGGGACCAATAAAATTAATATGAGCAAACTTGATAAAAGACTTCCAAAGAATGTTACAGACAAAGTTTGGTGATCATCCATCAATTAGTTCTATAGAAACAGACATTTAAAGGTATTTCTATTTTTAGCTATAGCGGCCCCTAAAAGGGGCCAATCAAATTAATATGAGCAAACTCGATAAAAGACTACCCAAGAATGCTACAGACAAAGTTTAGTGATCATCCATCTATTAGTTCTGTAGAAGAAGATGTCTAAAGTTTTTCTATTTTTAGCCCAAGAGACCCCTAAAAGGGGCCAATCAAATTAATATGAGCAAACTTGATAAAAGACTACCAAAGAATGCTACAGACAAAGTTTGGTGATCATCCATCAATTAGTTCTTTAGAAACAGACGTTTAAAGGTATTTCTATTTTTAGCTATAGCTGCCTTTAAAAGGGGCCAATGAAATTCATATGAGCAAACTTGATAAAAGACTACCCAAGAATGCTACAGACAAAGTTTGGTGATCATCCATCCATTAGTTCTGTAGAAGAAGTTGTTTAAAGGTTTTTCTATTTTTAGCCCTAGAGACCCCTAAAAGGGGCCAATCAAATTAATATGAGCAAACTTGATAAAAGACTACCCGAGAATGCTACAGACAAAGTTTGGTGATCATCCATCCATTAGTTCTGTAGAAGAAGATGTTCAAAGGTTTTTCTATTTTTAGCTCTGCTGACCCCTAAAAGGGCCCAATTGGAATGACATGAGCAAATTCAAGTGTGACTGTCACAAGGATGCTACAGACCAAATTTGAAGTAAATCTGCCCAGTAGTTTCAGAGAAGAAGACGATTGTTGACGCATGACGACGGACGCCGGAGCATCCCCCTTTGATACTAATAGCTCACCCTGAGCCTTTGGCTCTGGTGAGCTAAAAAGAAAACTGTGTTTGCTTAACATGAACAAAACATACACCTTACTTTTAAGTATTTGAAAAATATTGTCAATTAGAAGCATTCTTTAAATGAAAAAATATCCTTTATTCACTCAAAGATCATTATATTGATGTAGTTATATTCTATTAGTAAGATACATATATTATTTTCTCTGTGAGATATATCTTATATTCTCTCAGTGAAATCTGTCTTTCTCAGTGAAATATATGTTATATTCTCACACTGATTTTGCAGTAGATAGAGTATTTTTGAGGCAGTTTTTGTGATAAAAAATATCCAAACATTTAAATTGATCTAGTGGTGGGGTTATTTTGTGTCAGTGTTATCTCTCCAACCATTAAGTTGAGATATTATCAAAAATACAGTGCACTTAGTGCCGTCCAAATTAAAGAAGGTTGCATTCTTTATTTTAAGTTCAATCATAATCGTGAAAAGCAAATTCACTCTATGTTCATAAGAACTATGTGTTTCAAGAATTACCTTTCCAATCTTTCCCTATGCACACTATAAAATGTTGTATGGCCATATATACAGCATGGATGGAAATCAAACATATATACAGCTGTAAAAATAAAACGAAAGTTAATTGTAAGCACACAAAAACACTTAAGGTATTAGGACCCTAATGGGCACTATCAGGAACTAAAAAGTTGACATCATAAGTCAGATGTATACCTTTAAGTACACCTGTATGCAAAATTTAAACAAAGTTTACCGTATGGAAATCAAGTTATGACCACTTTTCTGAACTCAAGCTAGGATGTTATGAGGGCCCTTTTTTAGAAAGTAGGAACCTTTAAATAGTCTGCAATAACATTCTAATGAAAAATGTTTTCCCATTAATTTTTGGTAAGAAACAAATAGTACCATTCAGCTAACAATCCAAATAAGCAAAATTATGGTTTCTACTTAAACTTTATGAAATCTGTATAAAAATGTTACCCTACCCCGCCCATTTTTACTACGTGTCTGACCATTTTTCTACTTAGGGAGCCGAATTTAAAAAATTCTTAAAATTTACCCAAATGAGTGCCTGTTTTCAAAGTTTCCCTAAATTTTTAAAAAAGTATATTGGTTGATCTTGTAAAATATGAAATACTTTTACCGTCTAGTTTTCATTATATTACACTTTGAAAATATCAGGTACCATATTTATTACTAGATTTAGCATAAAGTGACATTATGCCCATCCAGGGGTATATAGTGAGTGAACGGGTAAAGATCAAAATATGTTTCCATTTTGCCATAATCCCTCTAATTCAATAATAAAGTTAACATAAACAATAGATAACAGACAAATCCAAATGAAATTTCTGTAAATATCCGTTAGAATTTACGTATAACGCTTAATTTATAAAAGAGTGGGACAGTCTTTATAAATTTTAGGCAGATTTATAATTTTATCCTAAACATATTCCAATATCAACTGTTGGTCAAACACCATTTTGACAGTCAATCTGTAGAAATATAAAGTCAATTCAGGTCAACTTGACTATGAAAATATGAGCATAATGTCACTATAATTTAGACAATAAATACCTATATAAATTAAAAAATCAAAATTAAACAATTTTTTCTTTCCAAATGGGACATGAGAGATACATAAATAATGTTAAAAGAAAAAAAGAAAGAAAAAAAAAGCTGACCCTTCTGGGGATTGAACCCATGGCCCTCATTTTCAATGTAGTTAACAGTAGTTCTAGCCTATTTGAATACTCTTCAAAGTGGATGTAATGCATTAGGGTGCTAATACCTTAAGCCAAGTTCTGATACAAGTTAATATTAACATATACATGTATTGGATCTTTTCAGTTCTTTTTATACCTTGGTAAAACCTTTTAGCAAAACAAGGGTTGTCAGTAAAATAGTGTGCTCAACTATTCTCAGTAATTGTTAGTAAAACAAGAGCTTTGATAATGTAGAATTTTCAAGTTCCAAAAGGGCCATATATTTCTGTCAAAATCCATGTTAAAGTTATGGGCTTTGGACAGTGACCTCCTATAATCTTCTTAAATTAGTGTGTGCAGTTTTAACACATTCCCTTCAGTAATTTTGGAAATACCAACTTGCACGACAAAAATAAACAAAGTGTGACCCCTATGCTAACATCTGGGTGAGTACAATAGTTAAACTATTTCCCAATTCATTGAATAGTCAAGCTACATGTAAAAACATTGTATTACATTTTTTAACTTTTGATTAATAACTACCATGAATAGAGCACATGCAACCCAAAATCATTTGTCCATATAGAAATGATTTAACATAATAAACATGTTTCAAATGCTAGGAACCAATTGTTCCCAAATTCTGGCGTTAACTGAATACTGCAGTATAAATCTATAATTTTCCAGTCTTACATTGTACATTCCTTCAAAATATAATCAACTCGTTAAATTTAAAGCAAAATTTAATAGTCTAAAATACTTACAGTAAAAAGTACAAAATATTTCTGATTGGTTTCTCCAACACAATTATTCACCCACGGACAATGATGGTCCATTTTTCTTATACATCTCTGACACACACTGTAATATAAAACAATTAAAAGCTCAACAATTGAAGACTTCTGCAATGACAATGAAAGTATATTCTTTGTGCAAATCACCCCAAAAGTAGTTTTAAAGATCAAACACCATTAATTTAAATCCTAATTGCTCAATGATGGACAATATCATGGGAACACATAGTTTACTTCATAATTATGATGCAATTAAATTTCTCAAACTTTTATTGGCTTGAACTCTATGTATGCCATTCCATATATATACCATAAAGAAACGGAGCCCACACTAATAAATTAAGTTACCCATTTTTTTCAACATCATAGACAGTTACCAACTTTTGTGCAAAGAAAATGGGTATTGCATTTTATTCATGTACATTCGTGTGATCTTATGCATATTGAAATTTACATTTTGGCTTTTGTCAATACTATTATTTTTTCTTAATTTTTACAATTTCACAATTCATAAACTTGCAACACTGGCAGGCCAGGATTTGTTCAAGCAATGGTAATAACAACAAAAGTTCAGAGAGAAGGAAAATAAAATACTGACATACTTTGTTAACATATATTTTACCTGCAATGATGGGCTCTGTCTGGTTTGATACTGATACATTTTGGACATTTAAAAACAACTTCTCCTTCTTTTAAACCTAGTTTCATTATGTTTTCTTTTGTTGCATTGCCTTTTGGAACTGCCCCCTGAAAATGTTTCAATAGCACAATGAATACAATTTCTAAATAACTAAACTGCTAATACATTTACATCGACACTCAACAAATTTAAGTATGCTTTACCTTAAAGCATATCAATTATTATGATCAATATTTTCACTTTGTCAAGAATTGAAAATCAATTAAGAGTATTGACAGTTTTATTCTAATTGTGTACAAATTATTTGTACATAAAAATAGTAAAATGTGTATTAATCATGAAAAACCATCGATAATAAGAAGTAAATCATCCATTTTGTAAGTTTCCAGTAAATTTGGAGCCTACAAAAGTCAATTTATTTCATGTTAAAATATGAAAAAATATTTATTCATTTATAGAAATCATAAATTAAATCTGTATTGTATTTATATAGACGAGGAGCTTAGAGCTCAAGTCTACAATAAAGATTTTGTTCTGTTATTTCAAGTATTGAAATTTATAAATAGGTAGGAATAGGAGGAAAATGGGCATCACTGCATATATCTCAAACAACAAAGGTTGCAGGTTAATGTTTACTTAAACACTTTTCATATTTGGGTCATTTTTCCAAGTTGAAAAAAGTATTCTGGACAAACACACTGAAGGATAAAGGTGACATTTTGCTTGGTTATTTGTCTTAACCTACATCAAATGGTACATACATGTATATTATGTAAATCTCTATAAACAATGGTAAGGTATAAAACACCTCAGCAGGGGTTGAATTTAGCAAGATTTTCTACTTGCACAATTTTGCAAGTGATCAAATGTTTAACTGGCAATATGGGGTAGTCAACTGGCATTTCCATGATAACGTATCTTATTAATATTATTATAATACACAATAACAATGTATTTTGAACATATGGTATGACAAATGATAATAGGCTTGAATGTCTATTGAATATCAGAAACATCTTTATTACGGGTAAACACAGAATAATTTTTTATCTAATGTCTTCTTGTAACGAAACAAAAACATTTCAACACATTAATTTATAAATGATAAACAATTGTTTAGAGATCAGAATAGATATACCAGAGGAACACCCACTGGTGACAATGTACAATTATAAACTTGTTCTTGTAATGTAATTTCTTAGGCCCCTCATTCATTTTAACATATTTTGTACTTGATTACACCAACAGCCTGAAAACTCGAGGTACTGATCTACTTAAAATAAATAAATATTTCAGCTTAAAAGTAAACTCTTTACAGAGGAGTGCTAAGTTTTTAAGGTAAACCTCATCAATTACTGCATCTGGCACAGTAAACGTCATCAGTTTCTGCAGCGGGCAGTTGCCAAGCATCATCATCAGCTCAGATGATAACAATTATGTAAATGTCCAAAATGAACAGTCACTTGCAAAAAAATGCCAGCTAGAGTAATTTTTACTGGCATTATTAGATTTTAACTGGCATTTTGCCACTATGCCAGCTTAAATTCGAACCCTGCCTCAGTGGAGTCCCTTTAAATTCTTTTTAAAGAATAAGACTGAATTGTTACTGTACAAAAATGTTTGCGTTATTTCAGGCGGTTGACCCACTGTAAATTTGCCAGATAACTCACTTAATAGTATGATTAAACTTTAGGTGCCTAGCCAGATTTTAATGTCTAGCAGTGAGATTAAGGCAAATAATTTTGAAAAGATAATAAAATATACAATGACATTGTATATAATACATGTATAAAACTTACTGGATCTGCAAGCATTGCTCTGGAATGTGAAGCTACAGCCATGAAAGCCAGGAAGTTAAACAGTATAGCATTTCCCCATTTATAACCAGTATTTACATTTGGTATGAGCATAATAAACATCACGACATATTCTGCATACAGTACAAGCATCCATGTGAGAATAACACAAATCACACCACATATGTCCTTCACAAACCAAACTTTGCTGCTTTCTTTCGGAATAAGTCTGTGCAGTCCAAACCTACGTAGGCATGGTGAACAGTCGTACATAACGACACCATCTTCTACAGGTCTTCTTACTTTCTGTTGTTGAGGCAACATTGGATCTTTTTCTCTATCATGATGTTTCCTATAAACAATAACATTCTGTCTTTAATGATTTAAACTAAATGGACATAAAGTTCTTTGTAAAAATTTTGCAAATGGTGAAGAAAATAACTTGAGTAAAACTTTTTAAACTATTAATTGATAATGATATATATAATTAAAAAAAATATTCAAACAGGTTTCAAGTTTTTTTAAATCAAATTCTTTGAAATGAGTACAATACATTGTATATTAGAAGTTTACTTTTAAATTAAATTATCTGTAAAAAAAAGTGTTATGTGTATGTGAATTGTATCATACAGTGCCAGTGAACAAAATGTGCTATGAATTACATTTTTTACAAAGCGTGAATCCAGCCATCACTTACTAAAATCTGCTTTATAGTTCAGATATGAAAGTTGAAACTTCACATACGAAAAATATAACACTAAACAGGATAGAATATTATAAAATTACTTATCTTTCAAGCATTATAATTTAACATGGTTTAATTAATGTACATGTATATGTTTTGCACTACGTATCAAAAAGAAAATAAAGTGATGCAACTCAGGGCTATTGTTAACATTTTCAGACTGGGGTCAGGGCTCATGCAGACAAGAGGGGAGGGGGGGGATTTTATGATTTTTTCCTGTACAACAGAAGAGGTCTCTAATTCATTGGTAAGTTATAGATAGTTCTGCAGCCAAAAAAATGCATAAACTGCAAAGAAATGCATTTATAAACTAAAGAACAAAGTCTTGTTGAAAGCAATTAACTGGAGTGAATGTGAAAATAAAGCCAAACATAACTAACATAACTAATATATGGTAACAATGAAGCAATGTTAACTAAACAACTATATAAATGCATACCTAACATCAGACATGACTCCTATAGGTTCATTCAATAAAAGAACGTCACATGCTGTAAAAACTTGAGATAATTATTATACTGATCTGAGACAAAAAAACAACAAGTACTGCCTCCATTTGAATAGATTTTTTTTAAGGAATGTATGTTTTCCTGTACCGGGCTTCAATTAAACGAAGTTTGGGTGTCATTTACTCACTGACTCCGACTTCCTAAACACAAAGTTTTTCCTTTTTACCTAGATATAATGTGACTTCCAATGTCAGACATTTTCAGTCTCTGACTTCCAAATTTTTCCTGTGTGATAATAAGTCCAACTAATTGTACTACGTGATGAGACATTGTGCTAATTTGCGTATGTGAAATATCTCCACTCTGGCCAATAACAAAATATATACTACTACCCAGAATCTAGCTTTGGCACAATAAATTTTGACTACTACTGTGATAACTGATAGATATTGAATAAAATTTAGAACTTAGCAATAATGGACCATTTACATATGTTTTTAACGTTTGATTGAATACAAAAAAAGGTCACTCCCAGTATAAAAAGCTTGTTGCCACTTAGTCCTACAACATAAGACGTTTCCATTAGTACTACGTACACTCTAACGTCTTATTGACTCCTCATAAGTTCCTTTAGCAAAACGCGCCCACATGTATACAGGTAACATGGCCGAATGTATATAGCGGTGTAAGTGGTATAAATTGTATTGGATTGGATTTATTTACATTCGAAGGTGAGTCATTTATTTTTTTTGCTGCACATTGATGCAAAAATGTTTAAATTTACTGTCTGCATATTTTTTGACTCAAAATATTGTTTTTGTAGTAAATTACGACAGTTTATATAGCACTTCAAAATCGCTGCACGTTTTGCTAAAGGAACTTATGAAGAAGCCGATAAGAAGTTGGAGTGTACGTAGTACTAACGGAAACGTCTTATGTTAAAGGACTAGTTGCCACTGAAACATTGTTGTGATGTTTCAGGGTTCTCACTAGGACTTTAAAACATGGAGTCCATGGACTCCCAAGCCTGAAAAAGTTGGAGTCCAAAAGCGCGTCGCAAGTAATATGCTTACAGATTAGTCATTTAATGCTCACAATAGCATTGCTGATATTTTGAATATTCAAGAGACTTTCAAAGTTTATTGTTAATCAAAACAAACTCTGAACTATATACATATAGTATAATTATTGTTTTAATGTTTATATTTATTATGAAACAATAAAATTATAATGCATCAACACATGGAAATCTTGTTGTTGTTTTTTTCACTTTTATACCAAATCAAATTTTATTCTGGTTAAATAAGTCCACTCTAAAGACCAATTTAAGTTTATATTTGTAAAAAAAACGTAAATGTATATAGGCAGCGTTTAGCGGAATGAATAGGAAAATCGTGTACAGCTTCACACAGTGTGTAAGAGATTCATCCGATCGACAATTATTTTAGCAAATATCTTCAAAAGGGAGCAAGTTGAAGATCGATATTTAAAATGTTGATTAAATAACAAAGGAACCATTCATTCACATGTTTGACTTGGAAACTGAGAATTGTTGTGACCTTTGAGAAATTTTAGGGTTTCTGGCGATTGTAAAATCGCCGATGTTCGGGATCGAATCTAAATATCAAAGGAAAGCGTATGTGTATTTTGATTTGTTGACCTGGCATTTCGGCACAATTTCTTAAATTCTTAATACTCTTTTAGAACGTTTGTGCAAGAATGGAAACTAAAGCAAAATTTTGCCAAGAAAATATCGACAATAATTCATAATTACACTCATTTGTAATTTGAGAAAACTTTCTTTAAATTTGCGGCGTAAATAGTTAATCCTTTTGTCGGTAAAATTTGATAATTTCCACCAATCAACTGTTGATCAAAGATAAAAAATTATCACCTCGTGTTATATCTAATAATTACATGTATGTAGCGTGTGTATACATTAGTCTGATCTCTATTGCGTGATACTGATCGAAAGCGTTATCGCTGATTGGCTAATCACTTCACTGGTCGATGTGCATAGGACCGCCTACCTACAGACTGACACGCGCTGACGTATTTTGTGTATTTGTGGGTAATGTTTATGCGTCCCCAGGCAAAATTAAGCGTACGCTTAATCCTTGCTCTGAAATATTTGCGTCCAGCTATAATTAACATGCGTACCGGGACACCGAAATAAGCGTCCCCGAGAACCCTGTGTTTGGTTATTAACATGCGTACCGGGACACCGAAATAAGCGTCCCCGAGAACCCTGTGTTTGGTTAACATTCTTTTAAATCATGGTTATTTCTTTAACTATTAATGGTACCTTCTTTAGAATATAATAATTATATCTTAGATTTATTCAATAAATGTTGGGCCAAATAAGACTGACATTCCTAGCAGATAGTACAGTGCAGGGATATTTAAGTTTTTATTATGACCATCCGAATACTAGTACACTTAAAACGGGTTACGAAAATATAGGGGTTTAAACTTTTTAATACAGATCATAGATAAAACAAAAGGAGTAGTTATGTTGCAAGCGATATTTCTAAACATGTTAGTATGCAAAAACCTACTCTATAATGTAGCCTTGGTTTACTAACATTTTTTTTTCTGTTTTCGCCTGTACGAACAGGTGCCCGCTGCTTCTATTTCCGCGGAAAGTAAATCAATAGCGAAAAGTGACCGGAAATGGCATTTTTAGTTAAGAATGGGACACATTAGACATAGACACGGGAAGACATCGAAACATACCCGTCAATGATAGAATTTGCGAATGTTGTCTATTACAAGATATTATAACAGAAGAACACTTCATCTTGAGATGTAATCTTTATGGTTTTGAAAGAACTTTAGAAATTTTTCATATATCTGAAAAGGTACCAAACTTTAAAACTCTAAAAATGTCAGAACAGATTGTATATAATTATGTTATGATGTTATAGTGAGAATGATGATAGGACTATTAATGCTGTAGCAAACTTTGTCCATAAATGTATTTCATCTAGACTCAAATTTCTAAAAAAATGTAACATCTGGTTGAACGTTTTTGGCTTACTAGTATATACATTTTCTAAGTTTTTTTTATTCACTTTTGTCATTTAACAGCCTTAGTTTCTTATTGTTACAAAGTTTTTTGTTAATTGTGTTTGTTAATCATAATTAAGCTTTAGTTAAATTATGTTTTTAGTTCTGTACATCTTGTACAATATCATTAGTATGTGATTATATGCCTGTAAAGGCCCATCATTGGAAATAAATTCTATTCTATTGTATTCCATTCCATTCCATTCCATTCCATTCCATTCCATTCCATTCCATTCCATTCCATTCCATTCTATTCTATTCTATTCTATTCTATTCTATTCTATTCTATTCTTTGGGGGTCGGCCCATATCATCGCTATTCTATTCTATTATTTTCTTTTCTATTCTTTGGGGGTCGGCCCATATCATCGCTTTGAACCGCCTTGTAAACGGTCAATAAATCAAAGCACAGAAGGCGCTGAATTTGTTTGGGTCTCAGAATGTAAGAAAGGTACAGGTTGTGAGATTATATGTATAGTGCCACCAATGCTTTCCAGCGTTTTAATTGTAGTAAATTGGCTGTAAGACTGATTGCAACACTGATATTCAATCCAATGTTTATTTGACTTATACAATTTGAAAAAAAAAATGAGTTGCCTTTACTGGGATTTGAACTACAGGCCTCTCGCTTCCTAAGCGAGCGTGAAACCCTTCAGCCACGGTGAATTTATATGTGAACGGCCTGAAGAAAACCATATTATTCGATCTAAATTAGGGCTTGTAACGACTTTAACTGTTGTTTAACACAGATGTAAATAATCCTGGAGCTTACTATAAGCATGTATATTTATAAAGAATCAAAGAACGTATCAGAGTTTGATACATACGGAATTCTACATAACTAGAGTTGCATCAAAAAATCATTTATGTTCATTTTTTACGACAGCCACACTTTATCCTTGCATATCATGGCTACTTCCTTAACAAAGACACTTAAAAAAGAATTAAAAAAATTTTTTTTTCTTCGACTGAGAATTGAACTCCAGACCTCTCACTCACTAAGCGAGCGCGTTACCCCTGCACCACGGAGAAGTTATACAAACAATGTCTGAATAACATCAAGTCATTCTAAATTTAGAACTTCCATTGCATTTCGGGTTTGTAATCCTTATTAATTTCGAGGTATTTTGTTCAGGATAAACCTGTTGTTTAAAATTGAAGTAAATAATTTAGCGAAAATCTTCTCGCCAAAACAGTCCGACATGTAGAATCTATATATTCCACTACTCGGTTTGTGTAGTATTCGGTAATCAATAGTATTTTCATTGATAAAATCATATTCATCCGCGTAATTTGTGATTGTGCATTTATTGACAATTCTATAAGCCAACGCTATTTTTAAACTTTGAATGCGTTGTAATTTGTTGGATACTTGTAACAAAATAAAAATATTTCTTTCTTTTAAATCGCTAGTTTAAAGCTGTTTTGAGAACTACTTGTTGTTAGGTTTGTCGTAAACTTCTGTGGCAGAGATTGAATGTCCCCTTTGTATTTACTTATTTTCGATCAGAAAATACAATAAAACAATATTAGAAATATTCGACCATTCGGGAATTATTTTGCTTGAATATCAATGTGCCTGTCTTTGACCATCTTTACGCAGTGATCTCCCCTGAATTTTTCGGCGTTAGTGTTACATATAAAGGGAAGTAACCGCTTCAAAAAAGTGGACTACTTTCGGCATTTGCAATTAACAGCATTAGACTCTGACATTTCGCTACCATTATTTGTTTGGTCTGACGACCCAAACAAATAAAAACTGATTACATTTAACACAAATGGGGCATCGATCAGTCTTAATCATTAAGTTTTATCTTGTTTTAAAACCATTTTCACAATTAAGAATAATAAAAAAAATCCCATTTACCGTCAAGTCTCAAGATAGTAAGCGGGGATAGAGTTTGACCCCCAAGTGTCTGCTACCTTGTAATACAGCTCTGTGATCTTACATAGTACAATGTATTTGTTTTTAATCTATTTGGTTACATAACAATTTTACACGGAGATATTTTACTCGTTTTATCAGAAATTCAATAAGTTTACAGGTATCTTATTATTATTATTATTATTATTATTTTTTGACAGAGAGAAACTTTTTGAGGTTTATATGTCAAGAATAATAACTAGTATAATGTACCTTTTCTGAGATCTGGGACAACCATAGCAAATACAACAACTACATTGTATGTACATAATTATGTATAATTTATCAACATATCAAAGATGTTACCGAATCGATTTGTATTTAATATAAGAGTTGAACATTCTGTAAGAATTTATTACCTTTTTAACAATTACATATTCTGCAATTCGTCCATTCGTCAATATCTTTTTTTTTCATATATTTTTATTATTCTTGCAGACACAGGTGTTCGGAGCGTTGATTGGTCACTACCCCTTCCCAACCCCTTTTACCCACTCTTCAACCCTCTTACCTATCCAAAACAATGTAAACTGCAGTATTTTTCATTTGGAATATGTTTTAATCGCAAACAAAATTTAAAAAAAATATGATACATATATGATTAGCACTTGTTTCTTATTTTTTGCGGGGAATGAAGGAAATTTAATTAAAAGCGTAAATCAAATATTATTTTAAACATATTCCAAACGAAAAATACTGCAAATTACATTGTTTTGGAGAGGTAGCAGGGTTGTTGAGTGGGTATAAAGGAGGGGGGGGGTGTGACCAATCAACGCGCCCCACATCTGCATGTGCTTGTAGATTCCTTTAACCTTGATTTTCCCTTTTCTTTTAAATTACGCCTAGCAATTTAAAAGCCTTTCCCAGACAATGCGCCTGAAATAGCGTAATCGTGCAAACAATGTTAAAACAGTATAATATTTTAAATTTTGTTCCGAGCCACATTCTAAGAAGCGCAATTTACCGTGCAGACTTGAGATTCTCCTTATAATTGATCAGCCCTTTTAGAAGTTTCCGCTCTTTGTAATCTGCATCTAGAAAGACCAATAAAAAGTAACGAAAATTGCGTGACTGTTTTTAATGATGTTAGATAAGACAGAAATAAACATTAAATTTACCAGTATTGAAAAGACATCCTCATTTTAAAGGTTGCTGATGCCACATAATTATTGAAAACATTTGCACCAATTGCCAATATAGACAACAACAACTTACAAAACCAACACAACAAATTTATGCTTTAAAGCACATATTTTTCATTTAGATATGACATTTTACGGATGACCTAATATCAATGTTGCTCAAGTGTTCTTACATTTTGTTCTAAACTAGACGGACTTTTATGGGACGAAACTACCTATAAATTTCATATTATACATAAATACATTTTTAATACGTTTTATGCACGTGACTAGAAAATTTGTGAAATTTAAGAAATGTGCACTCTGATGATTTTATGTTTTCTGAATTATTTTCGATTGTCTCCCTTCAACTAAAGTCATGTAATTAAGATACAGCTGTTACTGCATTATGTCATATATGATAACACTGTAGCAATTCATTGGAATTTCGTAAATCTTCCTTGGTATTTATACTTTTTGCGTCCGAGATACTATTATTTTCGTTTCTCATATTTTTTGGATTTTAGTGTCTTGGCAATAGAGCCGAACTGTCATTATATCCTCTTGCTGTTTGGAAATTAGTAAATATTTAGTTACATGTATTTAAATAAATAAATAAATAAATAAATAAATTTACATTCAGTGCTACATTCTTTCCGTGATAACCATCTTATAGGCACGAAAACCATTTGTTAGCATTTCCAAGGAAGACTACACTTTTTCTGATGCGTAATGTGCATTTAATGGAAATATTAAGAAGAAAAAAAAACCTACTCGTATATAT